CCTGTTGCTGCCAAGGCCTTCGCCGCACTCTGAAACAGCTTCAGGGGCATTCTGCCCTGCGCGCTCAACCTGGGCCTTGGGCCTTGTGGAACAGCTTCGTGGGACGCAGGCGAATGGGGTTGTTCCCCTGAACCGGTTGCACTGCCTGCTGCACGCGCCTGATGCACTTCCAGAAGGAGCTTGCTATTGTCCAAGTCTGCAATGGTTTCCATCCATGCATCTGCAACCACCGATCCGCCAAGCTCCAGAGCTTCTGTCCAGGAAGCGAATGCTGCAGAAAAATCATTGTCATCCAGCACCTGGTACAATGTCCTGAACCTCTTTACTCTGTCCTGAGCAACCCGATCCAGGATGGCGTCAGCCAGCGGGAGGTTGCTGCTACTGGTTGCTGGCGAGCCTTCCATTGCCCTGCACACACCGGTGCCCCAGACAATCATAGCCAAACTTGCCAGACCCCACTGCCTGAAGATGGCTTGGGGCATAAGGCACAGACTTCAGCCCCTCCCTGCATGCAGCCCGGCCGCATCCTCGGCATGAACCACTGTGGGCACTCTGCATGCACGAACTCATACTCAGTCATACTCCGCCTCAACAGCTCCAAGCCATAGCCAAAACACTTGGGCGGCTCAAGCAACCGGCTCCGAAGCCGGCCCATGGCAATCATAGCGGCCATTTTGCTATGCTCGCCAGCACCACCAACCATCCATCGTAGCCGCCCGAGGATCATATTGCAGTGGCACCACCTGAGCAGGTGGCCTGCGTGGACAAGGAAAATCGTTTCAGGATACAACCCAGACCATGAATCTGTAACTTGCAGGCGGCTGAGACGGGTGCTGTCATCGTTGTATCGCGTCCAGGCCTCTGCCGGCCAAGCACCTGGAGCCACCAGCACCTGTGACCGACAGCGCGGCCCCACAAATGGATAGGATATCCTCGCATGCGACTCTCAGCGGATGCAGGGAACCTGGCAAGGGTCACTCCCTTGTGCAAGATACCTGCCACAGATAAAGCCCCTGGCGGGCCGCACCTCATGGACAGTCCTGCTAGCAATCACTGCTCAAACACTCTGCTGCTGCCAGTTTAACTCACAGCAATGCATGACCCAAACCAGCAAGCAGCAAGAATCTTTGGGAATGAACAGCATGCACCGTAGCTGCCACACTCAACGTACCATTGATGACTGCGTACTGTTCTTCTCTGCCAGATCTGATTCATATGATCATTCTTAACAGGTTCCTCATCAGAATGGCTGTTCTTATGACTGTTTTTTGTTTATCACTCTTATATCGTCACTAAGGCAACCAGGGACACTGGAATAATGCTGTGAAAAACCGATAGTAGCAATGTTTGTCAAAGCAAGAAATGCAACAGCAGTAGAAGTGGAAACAGCAAGGAGTAGCAGCAACTTCATCTACATCGGTCATCATAGGAACAAACCTAGCTTAGAGTACTGGCAGCAGTAACAACTGTAAACAAAATTACAGCAACAGCAGTCGCAGGAATAGAAATGCAATGACAGCTTGACCATCGTAAGAAGTGATACGGAGAATTGGTAAATATTGGTAATGCAAACAAACCCTAGAACAGTAACATTAGTAATAAGAATAAAAACAATGAGCCCAATGGTAAAAATACGAATACCAGAAATAAGCTTGGAGGCTGTAGAAGGCAGAAAACCAGGAATGCCTAGAACGCCAGGAGGCAAAACAAGCCAAAAAGCTGAGATGCCAAGCAGCCAAGACATCAATTAATGTGAGAAAGCTCCATGCGCGACCCCTTAAAAGGGGCCCCAAACAAAGAAAAAAAGGGCACACAGTTGGGAGCCCTTAGAACTACGTGTCGCATCCTCCGGTCATACCAACCCGGCCACACTTCCATGTGGAGTGGCAATACTTGGTGGCACTGCTTTGTCATGCATCTCCTCAACTGTTCTCTCAGCAGGTGCCAAAATCTCTGCGGGAGTTCCCCAACTTCCTGGTCGTTTGGCCAGCAGCTTGTCCCATCCCGCAAGTCGCTTTCTTCGTTGAATTAAAATGTTCCCGCATGAGAGAAAAAAATGACCGTAAGGCTCCATTCACCAAACCTGAAAAGAACCAACATAGGGCACCAGTGTCTCTTCTCCGAGTAGAAGAAGTACACGTAGTGCAAGCCACATGGCCGCTCCACTGACCTGGGCCGATATGGTGCGAGGGTTCACAGGATGTCCAGGGCACATAGCAGCCAGGACAGGCACGATGAAACAGACGCGGCCAAGGTAAAGCTTGGTTCCAGATGTGCCACCAGCAAGCTCAAGCCTGGAGTTGTAACTTAATACGATGGTCCGAGATCTCGCATTCTGTTAAGGCCCTCACAACACACGTCTTGAAACTAGAACGCGGTGCAATGTGCGAGCTCTGCCGCTCCCCTGCTGACCTGAATGAAATTGTGGGTCACAAGTTCAAAAGTTGAAAAGGTCCGCAGCTCGGGCAAGAAACAAGCTTGCCAAAAAAAGCCCTCTTGCACATGATAAACATGGAAGATGCTCGGGAAGTATCCAAAAGAGGCCTCGGCTTATCAAGTCATAGACCCCGCAGAAGACGAAAGCAATAGCATGGTAGAGCAGGACCGCCAAAGGCAAGTAATGCCCACTGTCAATGCCAGCCTTGGAAGAAGAGCCACGGGCAAAAGAAATTCCCCCTGCATAAGCTTCTTGGTCAGACATGACGGAGCTAAGCTTTCAACCAACAGAGGAATTGCAGCGAGATCAATGAGCTGCGCCACGATCACGCCAACCAGCACGCAGTCCCAAACCGCAGCACCTGGGGCTCAACATGTGGGTCGGGGATCGAAGAACCATGCTGTAGATGGTGCAGCTTGTTCATGCTTGTCCCGTTCAAGGCTGTTGAGTTGCTTGTGAAGGTACAGCTTAGGCCCAACATGTCTTCAGGCTTCTGAGACCTTGATGGCAAGCTGTTCCTGGATTTCGTGTGACTTTCCCTGTGGCAGCTCACAAGCAAGCAGCACTTCAGGCTAGACTTTTGTAGAAAAGAGCAATTGCCCAATATGATCCAATATGCTGGTTCACGCTAGCCTTTCGGCGACTGACAAAGCAAACACCTCCTACCTGCACTCGTTGGCAAAATGATGCAGCCAGAAACTCACTAGTGCTGCCTGACAAGACATTGCCGTATCACAAGATGTGTTGGACTGGCTAGCCTCGCACTACACACGAGCAGAGAAGCCTTAGTAGGCGTCAAATCGTTGCGGTCAGCTTTCACACCGCGCTGCAGTTGTGTTTGTTATAAACCGCTTTCCAGAAGGCGACGCCGATTCAAGCGGTTGCTCGTATCCATTTTCTGCATTTGTGGCTCTGGACCCCCCCACAAACCAAAGTATTGCGGGATGCGCAATTTACCTAGGATGATAGAGCTTGCACTGGAACAATTCTGAATCAAACAGAACCTCACTCCAGTCCACGACGCGCCTTCTTCATACCAGTGGCTGCTCTGGACTCTCCACCGTCCGAGCCTACATTCCACACGCTGTAGCCTTGAATCCTTGGGTTGCCCTTGGCGCTGTTGATTCTTGCGGGTGCTCTTATGGGGAGCACTCTGTAGGGCCTTGGGGTGCTCTTCTGAGTCTGCCGATCAAGTTGTTCATTGGCATCGCAAGGGTCCTCCTAAATTCATCTGGAAACAAGAAAATCCCTGGAGGGGTGTGTAAAAGCAGGAAATGTCCCAGCGAGGGCTACCATGTTGCTACAGTGTCCTGTTCACATCCAATTGCTTCAAGGGCACGGATGAGAGCCGCATACAGCTGGGGAATCTTGGGAACCTGGCTGGCCACAACTGAGTGAACAAGCACTGTGCGTGAAGACAAGCAAACTTGGGACGTGGCCAGCTTGGTATAAGAGATCTCCACCGCCAGCGACAGCCTGGCTTTATCAAGCAGCCATCTCCAAGCAGGTTGGATGAGCCTAAGCAAACTTGGGAATGTAAAATAACCCCACCGTCCAAATCCTTGTTGCCTGAACAACAATTATGTTTGATGCTCTTCGTCGTTTTACAGCATTCATGCATACTTGCGGAATAAAGTACAGGTTAGTCCTGGAAGGCTTGACACACAAGCATGGGCGCACTTACACAACAGTAACTCCAGTCAATCCCTTCAAGAAGCCCTGGTAACCCAGCACGCAGCCACATGCAAAATCTATTTAAAGGGTTATTGAAGTGGACACATAGGGTGGACAGCGAGGGTGCTACGGCTTCCCTGACCGGCTTCATGAAATCAACATTATCATTTTTCATTGTTCAATCATCATTTTGCTGCCTGGCTTTCATCACAAAGATGCACTCTTGCTCAGGCTCGGACTCTGGGGACCTTTTCTGGAACTCAAGGTGCCAAGGTTTGTTTCTGAGAATTCCGTAACTTGCGGGCCCATCCTTTCATAATCCCTGCATTGGGGATCATTACGCATCTCCAGTTCACAACACAAGGCTGGGATGCGTGGCAGTGGCAGAGAAGACGAACATGCGGTAGTGCCAGATCTCAACAGCTCTGGTCGTCCCACTTTTGGACGCTCCCAGCTCAGCCATGGAGGAGGCTTCAAGAACCCATCAGAAGCCACACCACGCACGCTATCCGGATAGCCTCCGGGTAAACTCTTTGACTCAGCAACGTCCTTCGTGTTCCTGCAAGCATTTGCAGCAGGCGCAACCTATTGGCTTCCTGACAGCTGCGGCAGGAAGGCAAAGGACTGTTCGGTAGTCTTTCGTCAGGGCTTTCGGGCCTTCAGGAAGAGAATAACGCGAAACCAAGATGGAGCCTAGTGTTGACACTTGATATCACATTACATGCTCTGCCCGCTTTTTGCGATGCGCTGGGTCAATCATCCACCGAGGCTGACTCCACAGATCGTGCCCCTCAACATTTCAAGTAAGGCATGTCAAGTGTGGATATGTGGTGCTCTAGAACCACGGGTCAGTTGCCCTCAGACCTGCTCAACATCGCTCGGCTTCGAATCATTCGGCTTTGATGTTGCTGTATATGAGAAATACAAACTTGGAGGCGCCAATGAAACCCAGTGATCCGCAAAACAATGCAAGGCCAATGCAGAAATTCAGCGACGTGCCAAAGTAGTACACTGTCTGCAGGAAGCCAGACCTGAACAATCCAGTGCGTCTGCTGGGTAGCACCGCGACACACTAGACATTTCACAACACCACAAGTTCAAAGGCATACCTGCAGAATGAGCCCGAGACATCTGGGTGGAATTGTAGAAGTAATGGATGGTGTACAAGAAGACGTACAAAGCGGTGGCTGCACAGCTGATGTATGATTGCCACTGCCACCTATAGTCCTCCGCGTTCAAGAGGATGTAGGTGCAAGTGATGCTGACGCAAACAATAACCAGGCACAGCAAGACCAAGATCGCAAACATGAAGCCATAGACATAGTAGATCTTGTTGTGGCTCCACACTGCAGACAGAATGAAATACATCTCGATGAAGAGGCAGCCAAAGGGCACAATCCCTGTCAGGGACACTCTTCGCATACTGAAAAAAGTTTGCTCAGTGCAGCTCCAAGCGGCCTGCAACCATCGTCATGATGGGCGTGAAAGCCCAATGCTTTGTTGGAATCGGCCTCAGTTCCAGCTGAAAAGATATCACCACATTTAGCTCGAATTTTGTGCCTTCACTTTCGTGCTTTCCTTGACTGCATGCCATGGTTTGGAACAATCCACACATCCTGTTCGATTTCTCTGCTGCATGGGTTCTGTGGGCTGAAAGCTTGTGACGTGTTGCCGAGAGCAAGGTTCCCACATGTTCCCGTGGTCCTCGCTCTTATAAGTTTGAGGATACCTTTACGCTCTTTTGCTGAATGAGCTTCAACTGCGAGTAGCCTCGTGCGACTCAAGCCACAAATCCTTTGCGCTATGCTGAACACTAGTTCTTCAATGCGTCAGGATTGCCTGAGAACGAGTGTTGTGTTGTTGGATGCCCCTGAACCACCATCCCGGGGTAGAATACTCACAGACAAAAGAATCTTGCCAAAATCAAGTGATGATGAATTGCATCATGCAAGCCAAGGCTGTGGCTCTAAATTTTGGCCAATCACTGCAGAATTGCCAAAAATGCAGGGCTCAACTGCATTATGATCTCAAAAAGTCCTGTGCTGTAATCCCTCTAATTCCGTGAGCTAAACACCGGGCATGCTTAGCGGAAGCTGGAGGTTTTGATGTTGCGCAGATCCAGAAAAACAGCTCTGCTCTTCTCCAGGTGCACATGGACTGGGCATTACAGTCGTGTTCATCATGAAGCGTAACCAGTACATGAGAAAGGGTTCCCAGCAGGCCTATTTGATCATTCCGCTTTGGGCTTTGCGCCTCTTCAAGTGATGTACTCGGCAAGGGAACGAGCGCTCCGCAGCTGCTCGCCTTCCAAGCAGAGTCCCAACCTCAACTCACGGCAAGCAGAGCATGTTCGTACATCTGCACTCTGAGGCGCCAGGCAGTATGCAGCGGCACGCAGACGGCCAGGAAGAGCACAAGAATGATGAATATTGTCTTGAAAGGCACCTGCTAGGCTCCGCAAGGCTCCGCTACAGACCCCTGAAGCAGTCCAGCCACTGTCATTGTGGCTCTGTAAAAGATGGCCGTCGTGTTGATGACGACGAAACTAATGAAAGCCTCAGGCTTGAACCACTTCAGTCTGCTGCGCGCCTACTAAATTCATGGCTGGCATACTCCGAAAATTCGCTCTGAAAAAGCGACCGGCAACTGTTGTGGTTTTCAAATCATGGCCTAAAGCGTGGCTCTATCGTTGACCCAAGCTTGCTGGGTGCCAACCACGTGTCTACTCTGGATCATTTTGTTGTTAGGAATGCTATGAGGTGCCTGAAGTGGAGGATCCCTTCTTCGTAGCACACCAGAAGACGGACTCACTCTTGTCCACACGTCCACACACACTACATTGCCTTTGCTCCAACAATGCTGACGCATGCTCATACTTCAAAATGACCGGAACGATTGCTGCTCGGTGTTCCTTGTGTATACCCAGAAAGGGTCGCATGAAGATCTCAGCGAATGACAATGCCGGGCATGAACAAGCATTGGTAGACCATCGTCCTCACACGTCAACATAAGAAAAAAATGCGATAAAACAAAAAACCAAGAAACAGACGGTTCTGCAAATATTTGGTCTACGTGTGCTCTAGCACTGAAGTCCTTTTCCAGTGCTGGCCTCCAAACATGCGGAATATTCTTCCACCCTCATACCCGCCAACCTCAGTCAAACAATTGGCGCAAAGCCTGTTTGCAAGTGCTCTTTGGTCTGTCCACGCTTGAGGCGCTGGCTATAACTGTACAAAGGTACGCTATGACGAAGGATCCTGCAGTGGCTCCTCGTGAGGCATAATACCTGAGATGCTCGGTGCAAATCATTAATCGAAGACCAGACTGCAAATGCTTGTGACAGGCAAGATGCGAATTGCATATGGCGAAGATCAACACAATGAAGACGGTGCAAGCTAGATGGCATCCAGAAGCGTATACTACGGTGAAAATCGCTAAATGATCTGGCTTGCGAAACACATCTCCGTTGACCTGTTTCCAACCGCTCTCATCGCCTCGCGGCAAAGTCTTACATGAGACTTATGATCCTCGATGCGAGCATTAACTGAGAAGCCCGCCAACTCCATCTAGATTTTCAAGCTCTTCAGCTTCACTGGCAGAGTACCGAGTGAAGTCACGCCTTTGAATTCTCAATTTCTCAACTGCCTTGCACACCGCAGATGGATTGTTGAGCTTCGGGCTTCAGCGTCTTCATCAAAATAATTGCGACAACCGCACACAAAAATAGACATAGCATGAAGGAGTTCACAATGGAGAACCAATGCACCTGCCAACAAAAAGAAGATCAAACAGGTGCTACCACATGCAAGATGCTATTCGGCCTTGTGCTCGAAAAACTTCGGATCAAGATATCGATTGGTTCTGTCCTGATCAGGAAGCATCAAGCCAGGACTGCAAAACTTCTAGCTTGCGCCCTGTGCGTGGTGCGCAGTGCTAACTGTTGCCGGGGTCTCAATCTCAATTCTTTGATACAAAATGAGGATGTGGCTTTTCAGCCACTGGCATTGAATGTTTGTGGCATTGGGTATGATACCTATGGCCTGAATTATCGAGTTTGTGGTTGCCATCCTGCTTTATGGGTCCTGGTATCTTCTAAGCTCAAATAATCAAAAGATGACGTTTGTCATTTATCATCATATGAGCTACAGTCAAAATATCTACAACTCAACTAACCCCATGTCCACTTCATAAGGCTAATTCTACAGCATTTCATGTCTGGACTTTTGATATCAACTTTGCCTGGGCTGCAAAACAATCACTTATTTTCGTGGGATACCAGCCTCAGCAAAGACCCCAAACCAATTCCATTAACCAAGCAGGGATACCAATTGAACAAAATCGTCTGAAATGGAGATCGCAGCCGAGCACAAAGGCCTGAAAGCCAAGTCTTGACCCCTACAAATACATGGCTAAGTTTGACCACCATCACCTTGCTTGACGAAGGATTGCGAAAGGCCAGTCCACTTGACATGCGCTAGACCTGGACAAACGATGCGTTCTTACCCACCGAAATTAAACGACTTCTTGAATGTATTTCAGTGGGAAGTAACACATGCATTCGTAAGCTGCCAGGCAGGTATGCTGGCTTCACTCCTACATCGTGTCAGTTACATCTGCAGAATATGATTCCTGAAGAAGGCAAAGCCAACCATGTGCCTTGAACTCGTTGTTGGTTGCAAACCACTGGACGGTGTATGAGAGGTTCAGTGGTGCACCACCATAGATTGGCCATGGTGAGGACGGCTCCATGTCCACCTCGCAAATGGCTCATCCAAGCGAGTCACTGGTCACTAATCCCTGTCACTCGTCAGAACTGGCACAAAAAAATTGCCTCAATGATTTGGTCGTTGTTGTAGAAGAGTGTGAAATGACGGTGAGTGTAGATGCGGGGAAGCGGCTTCCCCTGTGGTTTCAGCACTTCGCAGCGCAGTGAAGCCACAACGTTTTCGGAACTGACCACAAAAACTGCCATAATCCCTGCAGCCTTCAAGTGTTTGGGAACTGGTGGGGCAGATCCAGAAGAAGGAATCTGCAACGACCTGTTGTTGTCCCGGTACATCATGGAGAACCGACCTGCACAACAGCACCCAAAACTTTTGGACGCTTTTTGCTTCTGCTCCAGCCAAGCGCCCCGCTGACATCGAGGGCAAACTTGGAGTGCTCTCCAACAAATGCCCAGATTGGCAAATCATCGATGTAGAGTTGATACCTGGACATCACATGCAATTAGACTGGCCAAGCATTTCACCCTCCATTCAAGCCAAAAAGGTGGGTCACCAATAGTTGTCGTTGATCATGCCGGCAAGAGCCTGGCGAAACATAAAACAGCTACAGCGATCAACGTGATGGCACCGGTGCAACTGATCCTCCTAATCTCAGTCTTAAGTGCTTGTCAGAGTCTTGATGTTGACCCGCCAACAAAACAATCAAGCTGCCCAACAGCATGGCTTCGTGCCAGCGACAGTGATACACCGTTACACCGTGTCAAGGACCGTGAATATGACACAATGACGCTCACACTGCCCGAATGTGAGGCCTTCGCCTTCTCTTCAGTCAAAATCATGCTGCAAAGCTGGGTATGAGCTTTGTTCTGTCCAAAGTGAATGTCCAACCTGCATGCACGCGACAAACTGCACACTGGCCGCTTTCGTTTGCAAAGAACGCTGAATGCTGTCCAGCATCCGTGGGGAAGAGAAAAACGCATGGCCCTCCAGCGTTTCACCGATTGACAGCCTTGCTCTCAGGGGACGCGCAGGCATGAGCTCAGGTCTTTCAGATTGTCTTCATTGAGGACCAGACTCTCCCTGTTGCACTGCTATATCTTCGCCTCCGCAGGGATTCGCATTTCATGGATTACCGGTACCACAAGCCACCAGTACAACAAGTCCCTTTTGAAGCAAGCCACGCTCGGCCATCCATGTCATGGCACTTCACACTTAGCACGGTCAGAAAGCAGAGCACTGCATGGTTGCCCGTCATCCCCGAATATAATTTGCATACGGAATTCGCCTGTCACAATACACCAAGTGAAGCACATGAGCGATGCTCCAATGATGCCAACAACCCAAGTTTCGAAGCCGAAGGGTCTCTGACCTTTTGACCAGAGCGAAACCTACAGCACACACGTGACCAACAACATAGTTCCGTTGATCCAGTTCTCGAAAAACGCAACAAAACTCCAGGATACAGACAGAACAGCCCTCCATGCACTACAGGTCTGCCTTCCAATTCGCAAAGGCCCAGGATGCTGTACTCGTATGTCTCCTGCACAAGCGTGCACCGTTCTGAACAACTGATACATTGATACATGCCTTGTCTTGAAGGTCTTTGCAGAAATGAACCACGATACAAAAGGCACAAAAGCACCTTCCAAATAAACGTTGGAATCCACATGACCGTGTCAAGCAATTCGAGCTGATGCCAAAGCTGGCACCAAAATCAGCAACAAGAACGGACACAACAGCGCAAATGGCACCAGCAGCACCAGGAGCAAATCCAGTCCCAGCCCCAAGCCAACACCAACGGCAAAATGAACATAACAGTTGCGATGAAATGCACGATTGGGGTTTGCTACAGCCTTGATTTGGTTAAAAGAATCCAAACCTAAAGGAAACCATTGGACGCAAAATTCTTGCCCGCGCAACTCCCGCCCAACTGCAAAACTCAACATGCATGAGGTTCCAGCCTTGCATGCTCATTCCATTTCCTAGTTCGTTAAACAAACAGAGCGAACATCATAAGCCAAAACACGAGCTACTTGACGCAACTCCTGTGGGTTGTTGTACGGACCCACTTTGTCTGTCCATACGACAACATCCTCTCCAGTCTTGTACGTGTGGGTGTCTTTTCCTGCCAACAAGCGTCACTTGCTTTTTCTTGCAAGGAATGGATTTACTGGCCTGCTCGTGCACTATGCTGGTTCACGGCGAACAGAAACGCCACCGCTGCATGTAGAGCGGAAACTGTGAATGTGTTCAGAAACATGTCAACGGCGCTGCGAAACTGTCAGGGTGCCTCGTACCATCGCATCCAGCACAAAGTGTTGAGCTACCTCCTGGTCCTTCCCTGCCGGCAGCTGTGGAGGTATCCTGCCGGCCGGGGCCTTTCAAACCAAATGGCCAGGCGGCAGTTGAAGCAGGCGGAACGTATCACAGTGCTGACGCTTCCTGACAAAGTCAAACTTTGCAACTTTGGAAAACTGCGGAGAAACAACAACACCCGTTTTAAATCGATGACGTGACGCTAGCTGCCAATATTTCCATGAGGGTCAAATCGTGTGTTGATGGTTGGGGAAACATAGCCGCAGTGAGGATCTAGGCAGATACAGCTCCATCAATCGTAATGAAGCATTATCTACTGCCCCTGTAACATCAAAGTGGCACAACTCTGCACACACATACGTTTTTTCCACACACCTTGCATCATGCGGGGATTCAAGGATCGGCTATTTACGCTGGTAACGCCCCCACATGCAAGCTACACGCACACTCCACCCCTGAGGGTCGCATCTTCAGCGCCTTGAGCTGGCAAATACCTACAACATGCGCGGCAATGCAATGACATGTCTGGACATGAAATGAACACTGAACTCATTTTATCACATACTTCCAAACCTAAAACACTATCGTTTTTCCTTGTTCTTAAAACTTGTTGTTTTTTCTCTCTGTTTTTCTTCGGGCAAACACTGCAACCTGCCCTCCCTTGTCAAGCTCGACGGGATAAAGTGCAGCTGGGCAAGATTTGTTTGCGTTGTATTTTTTTTGCCTTCTTGAACGATCAGTTTCTCACACCGGCAGAATCCCAAATGCAAGCTGTTCCCGTGGTCGGCGTGAAGCGCCAAGGAGATGCTACACATGAGGCACTGACAGGCCAGGATGTGAAGCAAACTCAAAAAACTATACAATGGTGAAAATTTCCTGGGAGCTAAAAAATCCTACTAGACCCCGATTATCCCGAAAGCATCCAGTTCCACGTGAGCAAGGGACGCGTATCTGGTAGCGTTCTACGCTCCGCGGTCGTGGTGCGGCGCAGTTGCTGTGGTGTACCTGAGCAATGGTGCGACGTAGGTGGTGCCAGGTCTGTGGGTGATGTATCGGTGTTGAAACGCATGTGCATTGTTTAGATTCCTTCCGATGTTAAATTTGTATTACGATTTGACTAAAATTCAGCCGGCTCACGGAAACGTCGATTCCAGTATTAAATTTGTATTACAATTTGACGCAAATCCAACCGCCGAATTCCAGTACCATGGTATTTGGGGAGGTTTCGCAGCCGCCGAATTCCAGTACCACAGCATTTGCGGTGCTTTTGCAACCGCAGAATTCCAGTACCACG